CTTTATAGTTTGAGTGTGTGGTTTGTAATTGGTTCCTTAATTTTGCTATTTTGATTTCTCAGATTATTCTCAATAGAAGTGAATATTTATTTTCCTTTACTTTGCATAGTTGTACTTTGAATGTAATAGGCATGTATCATTTATTTATTCCAATTATAGGGTCATTATAGGCCTATATTTGTTAAATGTTTGTGTTGTGAAGCATGTGAAAGAGTTGGACTTTTACGGGGGGGCATTTTTATTTTGTAATATACAATATTGGCCAGTACACTGTCATTTAAAAGCTTTATTTATTTATTTTTAATAAGAAATTAATACTTTAATTCAGCAAGGATGTATGAAATTGATCAAAAGTGAAAGTAAGGATTTCAAATAAATGCCTTTCTTTTGAAGTTTACGTTTAATAAGAAATGTTTCTTAAGCAGCAAACCAGCATATTATTCTAGTATGCTGATTTGCTGCTGAAAAAAAATCTTATTATGATTTTATTTCTTATTATGATTTCTGAAGGATCATGTAAGAAGAGTAAGAAGTAATGGCTGCTGAAAATTCACAGGAATAATTTACATTTATAAAATATGTTTTAAAAAGTTACTTATTATTTAAATCATAATAATCTGTATTTACTGTATTTTCAATCAAATAAATGCAGTGTTGGTAAGCATAAGAGACGTCTTTCAAAAATATTAAAATGTCTTTAAATCAGTCCAAATCAAAACCAAACAGTAGTGTATATATATATATATATATATATATATATGATATAAACTATTAACAGTTAACAGTTATTGGTAGTGGCCAAAATTTCTATAGGTCTTAATCCAAAATAGTGAGATCATGTTGATGTCAGATTGTGGTGTGAAATTTTCTTCCATCTGTATATTTTGGTAGTTTCATTTTTTCTTTCTTTATTGCCCTTCTGTACTACTAATTAGAAATTTGTCAGTACTTTTCTTTGCCTTGCTGCTGGCAGAGTCCTGACTCACACTGCTGACTGTGCACCTGCTGGAGACAGAAAGAATGAAAAAGAGAGAGAGAGAGAGCAGCTCTCCCAGTCTTGCTGTAGTGCTAGCAGAATACTTCATTCCTTCATTCTGTGTGAGCAGTCCAGGGAAAGATGGGAAACTCTCAGAGAAAGATACCTGGCTGTGGCTTGAAAAAGAGGAGGAGAACAAAGAGGGCTAGTAAAAACGCAGGCCAGAGAGCAGGCACAACAGGTAAGATGAATAGATTTCAAACAAGGATAGTGATCTAGGTTCCCTGCAGAGGTGAATGCAGTAGTCAATGAACGCGAATACAGATGCCCATCATTTTAATGTTTTAACTCATTTACTTTGCATTCTGGTGCAATTATACTACAGTGTACTGCTGTCTTACTAAGCACTGACCTCTTTACGTGAATCGAGCTCTCCTGTAACTGCGGTTTTCAATGCCACTGAACAGAACATTGAGACTTTTGATGTTTCTGTGATTAAAATTTTGAAATGTACATTGAAGAAATGCATGAAATCCCAAAAATTTTGAAAATGTTTCTATGTGCATAAGCTTAACTGTGGCTCATGACATAATAAGAGTCTCAGATTATATACATACAAAGCATACTTTATCTTTGGCTGAATGAATTTGCAGTAGATGACCGAAATTTCCAAGTGCAGAGGGAGTGATTAAGACGCATGTATGTAGAGATCACCTATATGTGCTGCATAAGGATCAGTACTTAATAATGCGGGGCAAAAACGAAAGAAACAGCAGAGCGGTGCTGAGTAATAGAGTCTGTTCACCGCATTCGCACATCATTACAGCACAAGTCCAAATGGAGGGAGGGCAGATGAGGGTAGGGCTTTCATCAAAACACTAACTCGACAATTATTTCCAAAGCAGATGTTTAATGAAATATACGTTTACTGCCATCAGTGTTTCTCTCACCTTGTACTCCATCTTGGATTTTTTTTCACTAGCGTTGTTACAGTGCATTCTGAGATTGCTTTCTTTTTGAAGGCTACCGCTGATGCTTTGAAAGTAGCATAATTTTGATAGTAACATTGTTACTGATAGTGAGTTTTTTGCCTTTTGGAAAATCTTTCATTAGTGTCTTTTAGACATTTACTCGAAAATCTTATTTTACATTATATCGTTTTTTATTATATTATATTATATTATATTATATTATATTATATTATATTATATTATATTATATTATATTATATTATATTATATTATATTATATTATATTATATTATATTATATTATATTATATTATATTATATTATATTATATTTGTTCAAATGTTTGGGGCCAGTGAGTTTATTATTACTTTTATTTGAGAAATGATTACTTTTAATCAGTCAAAAGTGACAGTATTTCTTTTTTCAAATATATACTGTTCTTTTAGGCAGGCTGTTTATGATAATAATAAATGATTTTTGAGCACCGACATATAAAAATGATTTATGTGAAAAAGAAGACTGGAGTAATGGCTGCTGAAAATTCAGCTCTAACACCACAGGAATAAATTACATTTTAAAATGTATCAAAGTAGAAAACATGTATTTTAAATTGTAATACTATTTCACAATATTTCTGTTTTACTGTATTTTTGATCAAATAAATTCAGCCTTGGTGAGCATAAGAGACAAAAACTAAAAAATTTCACCAACCTCAAACTTTTGAACAATATCACCTATATTATGTTTATCAGTCTGTACTTACACTGTACTAATTTGGGCTTTTATCTGTAAATTTACTGGTTTAAAGTCAGAGGATATCTGGTATTGCTTAAAATCACTAAGGAAATGTAATAAGGTGTTTAAGTAGCTGAAGTAAAAACAAAAACTGGCCCACTCCCAGAGACCTGAAAGTATTAGTCTAGACGTACTATCAATGGGAGCCTCTTAATTTTTATTGAAGCATGAAAGCACTTAATTCAGATTTAAATTCCTCACACTGGCTGAGGTCTGAATCCATCAGTAAAGTGTCAGTCAGTTGTCTTTAAGAGAACTACAGTGATTAACTTAATTTCCCATATTCCAAAGACATTTGATTTCTCTTTATATAGAACAATTTTCTTTATTCTTTTACCTGTTGATTAGAAATTGGTTTAAAGTGAATGTAAAAATGTCTAAAATATTAATAAAGTAAATTTAGCGTCCTTTGTTTACATTTGCAAAGTAGTTTGATATCTCATGCAATGCAATTCATTTATTTTTAAGTGTAGCTTAATTGTGTAAATACTGTGTCCACTGTGCAAATTTATGGATACTTGTTCTCATTCCTAACATTTAGTCTCCAGCTGTCTCATTCATCAGTGCAAGTTAACACTGAACATAGAATGACATTTAACAGTGCAAAAAGTGGGTATCAGATTATCATTCTTGAGTAAAACCACTCAAAACATTGTTCATTTTAATGGTTCTCTGGTTGTGGTCAGGCTTAAGGTTATAGAAGGGGCTTGTATCGGATTACCAAATGCCCCCGTGTGTGTGTGTGTGTGTGTGTGTGTGTGTGTGTGTGTTTGGCCTTGTATCTCTGTCAAACCAATAGACTTGGCTATTGTCTTGGTTTACCTCATGGTTAATAAGCACTAAAATGTTTCCTTTCTGACTGTCAGTCTGAATTGTCTGCTTCATATTTAGCCATGGCTTTCAGAAATGTAAGACCCCTTTGCGGTCTCTTTTTAATGTACCAGAGCCTAAGACAAAAATATTCCCAGACCCTTACTTGAGGAGCCACTTCTGTTTTGTATTATCCTTCGAGTAATATGGCTTTTGTTCCAATTACATACAACAAAGTGTTTGTTTCTATAAAATCCAGTGTTTTTCTAAGCGTCCATCATCATCAACCCTCCACCCTTCTTTCTGAGGTCTTCTAAGACAGGAAATGCATTTCTGGTATTATTCTGCTGATCACGGCCTGATAAGGATCTGCTAATTCGTTGTAAATTAGATATGAAGGGTTGCTTGGATACAGATGACTCTGGGTAGTTCAAGGGGACCACTGCACATTGAATACTGATGGGCAGATGCTCCTTTATAGAGGAGAGGAGGAGACAGGAAGCTGGGGAAAAGAGAAAAAGATAGAGGGAGAAATACTAATGAAGCTGTCTTTCACCTTCTTCTCCCTAGAATACCATTTGTTGTTTTGTAATGCGTAATATTGTTACATTTGAATGAATATGGAAACTTGCACTGCTGCTCAAAATTTGGCGTTTGATAGATTTTTTAAATGTTTTTGAAAGTCTCTTAAACCCAGGCTGCATCCTTTGATAAAAATCATTTGGTGAAAAATACAGTAGTATTCAGAAATATTATTACAATTTAGTGTAATATTTTAAAATGTATTTTTATTTATTTATTTCATTTATTCCTGTGATGGCAAAGCTGAATTTTCAGAAGCCATTACTCCAGTCTTCAGTGTCACATAATCCTTCAGACATCACTCTAATATGCTGATTGTGCTATAATTTATATATATATAAATTTATATAAATTTAATGCATCCTTGTTGAATAAAAGTACTTATTTGTTTCAAACTTTTGAATGGTAGTGTATATTCCTATTCATTGATTTATAAAGTATTCCTTTTTTGGATTTACATAATTTGGAACCTATTCTGAAGGTTTCTCATGAGAATGTCCTCACAGGATTCCAGCATAAAACAAAATAATGTAGTTCTTTTAAAATACATAGTCCCCCTATTAGAACATCACAAAGAAATTAAAAAATCTTTCAGGATTTTTAAACTTCTGTAGGTCCTTTGTGATTTCCATTAACTGTCCAATAGCAAGAGTGAGTTTATTCCTATACAACTACAACAGGCTATGATAAAGATTACGTAATATTCAAAAGAATCAAATACGCATTAAAAACATCATGTAGGAATTTCACTCTGTCCAGTAGGACCTTATTCTATTCTAGTGGATTCTTATTTAATTGATGTTTTAATAGAAATCCTGTACATATTCCAGATTTCTGACCTTGTAACTTCTTTGTCTTTCTCTCTAGCCATATCAAATTTGGACATTGAGAGTAAACTGACATCACACTATCAGACTCCATGGCATCAACAACACAACCTGTTCCACACTTGTACACGGCCACCATGTCTGGAAGAGTTACACCGACATGCCAAGCTCAACCTGCGGGCACTGCACAGAGGTACTGAGTCAGGCTTCTGGGCCCACATTTTTTGGTTCCAAACCACAGTGCTGTTTGATTTTTATGATTCTTTTCATCCAAACATATCTTATATCACAACCGTTGTAACCAAATTCCCCCTGTGGTTTAGTGGTCTGCCCAGGGCCACTATGGTGATAGATCAGCGTAGAGAAGTGACAGATCAGGATAGAGGAGAATTATGATCCTGGAGTTTCCCCTCAGGGATCAATAAAGTGTTTCTATGTAGTCCTGAATCTGTCTAAACATCGATCAGGTTCCTGAGTCTACCTGGAAATAAACCTCAGACCTTAGTGATTGGGTTACATCACCATATTTTATCTCCCCATTGTATCTTGCTGTATGTCAGCTTTGAGATCTATTTAATTTTCAGTATATATTGAAGGCAAACCGTAAGATACCTTATTAAATTCTGTTCTAAATTAATGAGTTTGAAGTTGTAGATATATATAAAATTATATATCTGTCTATATTAAGCTGGTATATCAGAAAAAAGCTTTAAAAAAGAACAAAAATATCACACATCACCTTAAAATGCATTTAGAGGCTAATATTAGGGGAGTTTGTTGGTAAAAATCTGATTCATACTGCCACCTTGTGTTTGAATGATGAATTGATTTGGCATTGCCTCAAGTTCAATGTGAACCATTATAGCATAATTTATATTTTCCCCTTGAATCAGTTTTACTTCCATCAGTTACACATAAAATGTGACCAGAACATTGATTGTACATTGTCAGTATGCAACAAATCCATTAGAGGCCTACTACACATGAACAATTTAGTTAGAAGTTGGCAGTCTGTAAATTCTATAAAACAGAAAGTGTTATAATTCATACTTTAGTTTAAACTAAAATAGCTCAGCTAGCTGAATGTGTGTGTGTGTGTGTGTGTGTACTTTACAGACCAGCAGCAGCGTCAGCGTTCAACCAGCAGAGAGCGTGGTCGGGTCACCATATCAATATCTGTGGCCCCGCCTATGCCAACCTTCCCTTCAACTCACAAACTCAGAAAGCGGGAGCAGAGGGGCCGGCACTCACGCCTGGTAAGAAGAACACAACATTTAATCTCCACTCATGTAGAGGAGGTTCAAAAATCAGTGGTTCTCAGCTGGTTTTGCTTCAGTACCCAGATTTTTACCAGATTTACCAGAAGTACCAGATTTGATTATCTTAAAACATAAACTGTTATAAGACCAACAAAATATTTTTGGCCTAAACTAGCATGCTCTCTCCTGTCATGCACACCAGGAGAGGAGCGTTAGAGAGAGTGATGTGCAAAACATCCAGAGGAAGGTAAAGAGTTTTTTTGTTTTGTTTGTTTGTTTGTTTAATTTGTATGCACATTCTCTGTGATACCATCCCATTGAAATGTATTTTGCCATATTTCAGGATTTTTATTTATTTTGTTTTAACTTTCTCAGTCCTGGAACAGGAAATATTACAAAACATGTAATTATAGAAATGTTAATAAACCAATATTAAATGGCACATTACATGAATTCTGTTTATATATATATATGTGTGTGTGTGTGTGTGTGTGTGTGTATATATAGAGTTGTGCTCATAAGATTACATACCCCTTGCATGTGTGTGTGTGTGTGTGTGTTTGTGTATATATAGAGTTGTGCTCATAAGATTACATACCCCTTGCAGAATATGCAAATATGTTAATAATTTTAACTAAATAAGAGGGATCATGAAAATTGCATGTTATTTTTATTTAGTGCTCTCCTGAATAAGCTATTTCACACAACAGATGTTTATATATACTCCACAAGACAAAATAATAACTGAATTCATAAAATTCATAAATGACCCCATTCAAAAGTTTACACACCCTTGAATCTTAATAATCTGTGTTGTTTCCTGGATGAGCTACGACTGTCTTTCTGTTTTGTGATGAGTCCCTCATTGGTCCTGAGCAGTTCAACTGTCTGCTATTCTTCAGAAAATTCCTCCAGCTCCTGCACATTCTTTGGTTTTCCAGCATCTTCTGCATATTTGAACCCTTTCCAACAGTGACTGTATGATTTTGAGATCCATCTTTTCACATGGAGGACAATTGAGGGACTCATACACATCTATTACAAAAGGCAGAAACATTTACTGATGCTCAAGAAGGCAACACAATGCATTAAGAGCCATAACAGGATGATGATGTGTAAATTTTTCTTATTTTGTTTATAGATCATATTTTTTTATTTGGTACTGCACTTAAGAAGCTACATAAATACTTAAATGTTTCCCAGATGACCAAATAAGTACAATTTACCCTGATCATCCAATTCAAAAAGTTTACACCCCCAGCTCTTAATGCATTGTGTTGCCATCTTGAGCATCAGTAAATGTTTTGACCTTTTGTAATAGCTGTGTACGAGTCCCTCAATTGTCCTCCATGTGAAAAGATGGATCCCAAAATCAGAATTCTGTTTATATATATATATGTGTGTGTGTGTGTGTGTGTGTGTGTATATATAGAGTTGTGCTCATAAGATTACATACCCCTTGCAGAATATGCAAATATGTTAATAATTTTAACTAAATAAGAGGGATCATGAAAATTGCATGTTATTTTTATTTAGTGCTCTCCTGAATAAGCTATTTCACACAACAGATGTTTATATATACTCCACAAGACAAAATAATAACTGAATTCATAAAATTCATAAATGACCCCATTCAAAAGTTTACACACCCTTGAATCTTAATAATCTGTGTTGTTTCCTGGATGAGCTACGACTGTCTTTCTGTTTTGTGATGAGTCCCTCATTGGTCCTGAGCAGTTCAACTGTCTGCTATTCTTCAGAAAATTCCTCCAGCTCCTGCACATTCTTTGGTTTTCCAGCATCTTCTGCATATTTGAACCCTTTCCAACAGTGACTGTATGATTTTGAGATCCATCTTTTCACATGGAGGACAATTGAGGGACTCATACACATCTATTACAAAAGGCAGAAACATTTACTGATGCTCAAGAAGGCAACACAATGCATTAAGAGCCATAACAGGATGATGATGTGTAAATTTTTCTTATTTTGTTTATAGATCATATTTTTTTATTTGGTACTGCACTTAAGAAGCTACATAAATACTTAAATGTTTCCCAGATGACCAAATAAGTACAATTTACCCTGATCATCCAATTCAAAAAGTTTACACCCCCAGCTCTTAATGCATTGTGTTGCCATCTTGAGCATCAGTAAATATTTTCACCTTATATAAGAGTTATGTATGAGTCCCCCAGTTGTCCTCAGAAAAACAGTTGTGGCTCATCCAGGAAACGACACACAGTATTAAGATTCAAGGGTATGTAAACTTTTGAACGGGGTCATTTTTATAAATTCCGTTATTATTTTGTTTTGTGGAGAATATATAAACATCTTTTATGTGAAATAGCTTATTCAGGACAGTATTAAATAAACAATAACATGCAATTTTCATGATCCCTCTTAATTTGTTAAAATGATTAACATTTTGCATATTCTGCAAGGCGGGGCATGTAAATTTATGAGCACAACTGTATATGTTCAGTGTCTAGTATTTTCATGATTTCTTGTGCTTACTGCATGTAAAATATTGATTTAACATGTTAAATAATATAGATTAAATAATTATGTAATAATAATGCATACCCTATAATGCATTTTTACATTAAAGTGTCAAAAAGTGTAACTTAAGTCAGAACGTTCAGTATACTGGAAATTCTTGAATGAGAAAAGTATCTTCCTTGTCATCATAGTAACACTCCATAATAATGAACATGACAAATATCAAAGCTGACTTGAGTTTCTTTCTGACATGCTGATTTTATTTATAAGATGAGCCACAAATTCTTTCTATATAAGACCAATCAATATTAACTATGAGTTGTGTAGAAACACTTAAAAGTTGACAACATAATGTTGCCATAGAGCAATAAAATATTTTTAAAAATGTCCAGTATACTAGGTGTTTGGAATGAGGAGGTTATTTATAATTGATGTTATTTATAATGTACTCTGTTTTACATCTTTAAATGTTTTACATATTTTCATAAAGTAAAATGCACAAGTGTAAAATGGGCAGCTACGTGTGATTTTAAAGGTGGTCAAAGGTATTCTGGGATCTTTATCTGTTATGCTTATTGCATTTAACTACTGCAGGAGAGACCAGCCAAAGAGGCTGAATTCAAACCCGTCCTCAGAAAGGTAAATTACATCTTTTTTTTCTTTTTTTTTATCTGACAGCAGGGCTCCTGACCTCTAGCTTTTTTTTAACCAAAGTACAGGTTTTGCCAAGATAATTGGATGGGTGCCAGATTGATTCAAATCCTTCCATAACAATTCAATTTAGTAAATTCCTTCTCCATCAGATTACAGCCTTTCATTTCAGCATGTATGTTGCACACTTGAACCACAAACATCTCAGTGTTCAAGGTTGTTCACAAAAAAACTGTTCCAAAAGAGAACATGTCTGTGTTGTTTTGTGTGCGTATATGTCACCCCTTTTCCCTCACACCATGGACTTCTCAGAAACATCACGTCAGACATTTATTTTGATTTATCAAGCACATTTTTTTGTCATTTGTTAAGCTTTGTTTTCCATCTTTTAATTTTAGTATCAGCGTTCCCGTTCCTCCTCCCCTGTTCAGTGTTGTTACTTCATTCCCTGGATTAGAAAGGTATTTTGCCCCATTAAAGACTACTTATTACCTCTAGCTCCTAATAATTTCTGTTTCTTCTTGTTTTAACATGATTAGGGTAGAACAAGACTTGACCTTGAGATGAAAATGATTCATCCAGTTAGCAGGATACGTAGCAGTTACGAAGGATCTGAGAAGATATGTATTTGGGATTGCTGATAAGATCATCAAAGTAAATCCTAATGATCATAAAGTAAATTACTTAAGGATGTGTTTACATTTAGAATCAGTTAAAGAGTATGCTATTGTATAAATGACCGTTTATGTGATTTGTTAAATAGCACCACGTTAAGTGGGACAGCTCAGTATCATTTGCTACATTATATTGAGATATATTGAAATATTTGTATGGTATATTGCATTTGGAGTATCACAGAGATTTCTGATATGGTAAGATCATTCTTTATAGTTCTTGCTTAATATTGAATACTATTCTACTGCTTTTTGTGTGAGTAAAACAGATTTTGTTTCATGATTTTTCCAAGGATTTCCTTTCTGGATTATTTACTCCCTAGGGTGCAACCTAGCCTTCATTAAAAGACATTATTTTATACATGTTCATGCAACCATAGAAAAAAAAATCATGCTGTCTCTTTGCCTATGTTTGATTCTTTCATCTATTCTTCTTCTCTCTCTGTGTGTCTCTGTCTAATAATCAAAGCTGCATTTCTTATCAACACAGAAAAATGGGAATTTGGCAATACATGTATGTATGTAGATGTCTACTTAATACAGCTAGTCCCAAAAAGTATTTGGACACTTAAGCCTCACTTATGTATGAATGTCTGCATTGAAAAACTAAGTTCGTTAAAGGAAAAACATAAAGGGGTAGTTCACCCAAGAATTAAATCATTTACTTGCCTTTGACTTAGAATTTCTTTCTTGTTTTGAATGTAAAAGAAGATATTTTGAAGAATGTAGGTAACCAAAAAGTTGCTGGCCCCTTTAGGCATCAGTTGCCACTTGGTTTGTTATTTTGGATATTTTTTTTATATTTCTAATGCAGTGAAATCCATACATTAAGTATGACTCCAAAAGTGTCTGAAGGTTTTTGGGGCCACTGTATAAAACTTGTGATCCTGTAGATAAAATTTTGTCTTTACATTTAGCTGTGTGTCTACAGTATGTGAATTTGATCATAAATTGTCAATCTTGTTCTGAGTACAGCTTAACAGTTCTAACATCATCCCACATTAGACTGGAACCAACACAGAAACAGATGGTGAATTGCCAGTGATGAGCCATAGGCCTAAATGTCCTGTTCCCAATGTACCTACCACCCTGGACAAAAAGACCAACTGGTCCAAAGCCCTGCCTCTTCCCACGCCAGAAGAGAGAATAAAGAATGACTCTCAAGTGATTTCATCCTTTATCATTCCAATAAATGTTTCTGGTAAGCAACATTACTTCAGATTCAACACAAACTAAAAACACCAACACTATATTGCATAATGTATTATAACAATATGTATGTAAAATTAAATCAAAAAGAATTTGATACTGTGGAATATATCACCCTCTCCCACTAAGGGAATCCATGACATTGGCTTAACTACTTCTGAGACTGTTATTTTTCTTCACAGGTGTTGGATTTGACAGAGAAGCCAGTGCTCGCTGCTCTCTTGTTCACTCACAGTCGGTTCTACAGAGACGCCGGAAACTCAGGAGGCGAAAAACGATCACTGGCATCCCCAAACGAGTTCAACAAGACATGGGTATGACCAACTGATGCTTTACATCTAAAGTCCAAGTTCATCAAAGCAACTTATTGTTTTCATTTAACATCTGCATGTCACATTTTCTTCAATTTTATCTTCATATATTTTTAGTTTAATTATTGATTTTCTGATTTCCCTGTAGATTCTGACGAATCACCTGTGGCTAGAGAGAGAACAGTGATCATCCATGCCAACCCACACAAGTCATTGTGGCATGAGGAGCTCTCTTTGAGTGGCCGAGTATTGAACACCAAGGACTCTGGCTGTCAGACTGATGACTTCTTGATTGCTGCTCCATCCCGGAGGCGTATCCGTGCCCAGAGGTGTCAGGGAATTCCAGCCTCTCTCTCACACTCCACTGGAAACATCACCTCCCTGCCAGATCGCTCTGATGCTGTGTATGCTGCAGCATCAGCCACTCGTGTCCGTTCTAGAAGTCTACCACGTGAGGGTGACCGGCTTCTGGATGAGGACCAAGATGACAGTGATGATGATGATGAAGATGACGAAGAGGAAGATGAAGAACTGTCTCCGTATGAAGCTGAGGACTTTTTACCAGGTCCAGGACAGAGAATTCCCAAGGATGAGGAGGAGAGCACTGATGACCAGGCCATGCCAGAGCTCCAATTTGGAAGCCTCAAGCACATGCAGCATTTGGAGAGCCCTGACCACACATGGATTGAGAGAGGCAGATCTAGACTCCCACGCAAAGTTGACATGGGGAGCTGTGAGATTTCCTCCAGCTCTGATACTTTCAGCAGCCCCATCCACTCTGCCTCCACTACAGGAGTGCTAGGCAGTCAGATGGACCATAAAGAGGATCACCAGTCATCAAGCGGCAACTGGAGTGGAAGCAGCTCCACTTGCCCGTCGCAGACGTCTGAAACTCTTCCGCCTGCTGCCTCTCCTCCCCTGACTGGATCCTCACACTGTGATTCAGAACTCTCCCTCAATACTGGATCCCATGTCATTGATGACAGCACCGGCTTCATAATTGATCCCTACCACATTGACAAGCCACAAGGACAGGGGCAGCGATCCAATTCTTTTACCTCATCGGCTACTGATCAGATGGATGATGCAGGGGTCAGTACTGCTAGTGATGGTGAGTGGAACTGCACCCAGGACCAGCGGGATCAGCCCTGCCCCCAAGACTTCAGCCCAAAGCATTCCAGAGAGGATGAGAGTGGTGTCAGCTGCCCCAGTTATTCAAGTGGGGAAACTTACGAGAGTTTCAGTGACCAAGCATCCGCTAGAAAATCTGAGATGCACTACATCGTTGACACTGAAGGATTTTATTCCTCCATGCACTTTGACTGTGGTCTTAAGGGTAGCAGAAGCTACTACAACTATGCAGCCATTGACCTTGACTGTGACCCAAGTGGTAATATAGCACCTGGCATGGGTGAATACACTCAGTCAGAGTATAGAGCCACCAGGACACTGGGTAGACCGTGTCTCTCCTTAAAAAAACCAAAGGCCAAGCCACCCCCACCAAAACGTAGCTCTTCATTAAAGGAAACAAGCAGTGGTGTGAACATTCTAGAACAGGACGAACCAAAGATTACTTGCGAGTTGCCGCTGCCCTTGTCTTCCAGGGAGATGAAACTGCAGCTGGACTTGGCTGATTCTGCAGGGCACCTTGACACTGCAGGTCTTGAGTCACTTGGCGCATGGGGAGTGGAGAATGTCAGGGACATGCTTGACTGCTCCTCTCCATTCAGTTCCTCAGACATACATTCGTTCAAGGATGAAGGTGCTGTGCAAGCTGACTATGCAGACCTCTGGCTCCACAATGACTTGAAATCAAATGACCCTTACCGGCCTCTGTCCAACTCTAGCACTGCTACGGGTACAACTGTTATTGAATGCATCAAGTCACCAGAATGTGCAGAAATGCAAGCCTGTCAACCCAGGTCCAGACCTATTTCTCCAACTCTTCCTCCACCTGAAGGTGACTTCAAGCTGGCTTCCCCTGAAAAGTTGGTGAGCTTGGCATCCCCTTCCAGTGGATATTCTAGTCAGTCGGAAACACCTACATCTTCCTTCCCCTCTGCTTTCTTCCCAGGGCCCCTGTCTCCAACCAGTGGCAAAAGGAAACCCAAAGTCCCTGAAAGGAAGTCCTCACTTTGTTCCCTACAACAGCCACAGCTTTCAGTCCGAGACCCAGGCATTTCCTCCAGGAGGGAAACTTACTTCCATGCCATACCCCCCGGTCACCTTGACCTAAGTGCTCTTCACAGCAAGCACTTTTCTCACAGAAATCAGATGCACATCCTCCACCAGAATAAGCAGAAAGCTGCCATAGCTGCGGCTGCGGCTGCAGAAGCTCGCACTGCAGCTGCTGCCGCTGCTGCAGAGGCTCGCACTGCAGCTTCTACTTCAGAGAGTGCAACAAGCACAGTACCCAGCTCAGCACATTTGGCCATCACTCCAACTGTTCTTAGATCAGTCCAACTGCGATCTATTTGTAGATTAGCTGAAGGGAACCAAGGGTATGATCTGGTCAGTGCAAATCCAGTAACTCGTCCCAAGTGTCCCACAGTAATAAATGATGCCCCATCCTCTAGCAACAGGCACAACAGGAAACCACCAGCCTACAAACCCCCTGCGGCACAGCTCTGTGAATCACAGGTACCACCAGTGGAAAATGTTGTTCTTCCACAGGAGGAAGTGAAAGTGAGACAGGAGAGGCTTGGTCCTGGTACTTACTGGGCAATGACTGCTTTCAGAACTCCTGTAGGCCCTACTCCTGAAAAAGAAGACTCTTCGACAAGGTCATCTCAAGGTCCTGAGCAAGAACAAGACAGCAGAAAGTACCCAGATGTGCAACTGACATTGTCACCAGAGAGACTAAAACAAGATCTAAATCAGCTATCATGGTCAGACCCTTCAGCACAGCCCATGTGTTCGGCCAGCACAATGCCGCCCCCCGCTTACAGTGAAATACAGAGGAGCAATTTTGTATTGTGCAACAGCCCTGACAAAGTGCCTGTTTCAATTCAAGAGGCATCGCACACTTACACAATCAGCGATGTACAAGGCCGAGAAGAGGATTATGAGACATCAGGTGTCACAACCAGAAGTGCCTCACAGGACATAAGAGAAGAAGGGTCGACCCCGGACACAGAGGACTACTTCAGCAAAGGTAATTGTCCTGTAAAAAACTTTTACTTAACAAATGTGATTTATTTTACCATGACTGTAGGTAACGACAACAAGTACTGTAAACATACCTCGTTTTTTCTCAGTGTTTTAAATCAGCTTCTCAAGCATGACTCTGTGCATAACCAGGGTTGGGAAGGTTACTTTCACTACAGATTACAAAATACATGCTTTAAAACGTATTTTGTAACATATTTTGTTAAATTTCTCAAGTTTAGTAACTTATAAATGCATAAATAATATTATGCAATTATCTTTTTAAATATAACATTTTGAACACTGAAATATAAAATGATGGGGAGGGAAATAAATTATGTTTTAAATATGAAACTAAAACCACCAGTATGTGGCGGCAAATATTACATTCTTAATGAATGAGTCATGGAATCATTTGATTTGTTCTAAAGGACCGATTCATCAAGGAATTGAACAAGTGATTTATGAACGTAATTGAATCATTCGCTCAGCCGATTCGTTCGAAGCGTGGATTCATTCAGGAACCAAACAGCACTAGGTTGCTCACAGACATTCAAGTCTTCTGTGTATTTATCTCAAAGGCAGTAGTTATTTGCTTTATGTGCAAATAGCATTACATGCACTTACACTAAGTGTAAATAGCATCTGTCACTATGCAATTTACACTAAGTGCAGATAGCCATAGATTCTATTTACACTATGTAAAAAGGTAGTATTTTCTTTGCAATAAGTGTAATAGTAATTAGATGCTTTATTTATACTTACTTCAAATAGTGGCAGATATTGTTGTAGTACATTATGAAACAGTATGCATTTTAAATGTAAATTATAATTAATTAAATTTATTAATGGATGGTGCCTTATTGGGTGCCCTCCCTACACCTAACCCTACCACTATACCCAATAAACACTTCATTATTGAGAACCCGAGAGGCACTTTGTTTCCACTTTTCGAATATTTACTTAATTTTTTTTTATTGAAAATAAATGCCTTTCTGATCTGATATGTGATGATAAAAGGGAGAAGAGCGGTAGTAGAACTAGTTCGGCAAAAGATGGAAACGAACTCGGATTGATGGCGTATCTTACTCCGTTCACCACTGCTACTGTTCTTAAACATCCATCTTTTGTAATGTCCAGACATTGGTGGGTGTAGCTACTCTAAATTGCTTCTGCCAACAAGGCTATTCAGTTTTTTAATGTGTCACTTAATATTAACTTATTGTTTTTGAATTGGATATAATCAGTATGACATTTTGGAATTGTGCTAATATTCAGGAAATCAGCACTCTTCTTCTTCAAAAGATATTGCTTAAAGGGATAGTTCACCCAAAACTGAAAATTTTGTCATCATTTACTCACCCTCATGTCGTTCCAAACCTGTATATCCAGCCTCTGAATCCCGGACTCCGCCTCGGCCCGTCGACCCGTCGGCTCCACCGTGGCTCCTAGCTCCCTCCTCTCCGCCATGGCCCATCAGTCTGTCAATTGGTGCTATGTGTGTCTCCTGCGTGCCCTGTTTTCCCTGTGATTTGGTTTATAAAAGACTCTTGTGTGGTGTAACTCCTACGTCTCCTCGCTCCTCACCTTAGCAGTCGTGACAACCATATGTTATAAATATAGAAAAACAATAACTTGTACAGACAAACATTTTACTTTAATATTAAATTAAATAAATTAATTTAATTTCAAAGTAATCACTTAAATGAAACTATAACATAATACAGTTACTCATATTTTGTTTTAAATATGTAACGACATTACATGTATTCATTACTCCCCAATCCTGTGCATAACATAGTCACATGACACCATGCAGAGTTGGTGATTGTTTTTATTTCACCTCTAGCGGCCACTATTCCAACTATACTATAGGAACTATAGGAGCAGATCAGTCAGTAAAACTGACATATTGGTCAGCCTCAACATGATTTTTTTACTAGACTGATTTCACATTCAAGCTGTTGAATGCATAACTTTATTTCAAGAGCTAATTGAGCTTGATGTATGAATACTTTGCATGTTGACAGAATCAACTCCCAGTGACAATTCAACCTCTCCTTTTGCTAATATTCAGGAAATCAGCACTCTTCTTCTTCAAAAGATATTGCTTAAAGGGATAGTTCACCCAAAACTGAAAATTTTGTCATCATTTACTCACCCTCATGTCGTTCCAAACCTGTATGTGTTTCTTTCTTAAGTTGGACATATTGTAAAAGAAGGTATTTTGAAAAATGCTGGTAATCAAACACTTGATGGTCCCCATTGACTTCCATAGTATTTCTTTCCCTATGGAAGTCAATGGGGACCAACAACTCTTTGGTTCTTCAAAATATATTTTTTTGTGTTCAACATAAGAATGAAACTTATACAGGTTTGGAGCAACATGAGGGTGAGTAAATGATGACAACATTTTCATTTTTGGATGAACTATTTCTTTAACTATACCATTGTCAGGAATATGGACTGTCTGTGTATGTTTTGCTCACCATGTGCTCCCATTGACCTAATTTTCCCTCGTGTGTGACATGCCCTTATTTGGTTATCTTCCTGTTACTGTTCCGATTGTGTTTGATTGATCTCAGGTGTGTCTCATTAATTCCCTCGTTTAGTGTGTGTTCTGCCTCTTGTTTCCTGTCCGGTGTTATACGTCAATTGGTGCTATGTGTGTCTCCTGCGTGCCCTGTTTTCCCTGTGATTTGGTTTATAAAAGACTCTTGTGTGGTGTAACTCCTACGTCTCCTCGCTCCTCACCTTAGCAGTCGTGACAACCATATGTTATAAATATAGAAAAACAATAACTTGTACAGACAAACATTTTACTTTAATATTAAATTAAATAAATTAATTTAATTTCAAAGTAATCACTTAAATGAAACTATAACATAATACAGTTACTCATATTTTGTTTTAAATATGTAACGACATTACATGTATTCATTACTCCCCAATCCTGTGCATAACATAGTCACATGACACCATGCAGAGTTGGTGATTGTTTTTATTTCACCTCTAGCGGCCACTATTCCAACTATACTATAGGAACTATAGGAGCAGATCAGTCAGTAAAACTGACATATTGGTCAGCCTCAACATGATTTTTTTACTAGACTGATTTCACATTCAAGCTGTTGAATGCATAACTTTATTTCAAGAGCTAATTGAGCTTGATGTATGAATACTTTGCATGTTGACAGAATCAACTCCCAGTGACAATTCAACCTCTCCTTTGACTGATGACTCTAAACCTGATGATGATAATGTTTTCCCATCCCCCAACAAACTACGCACAACTGAAGATCTGTTTGCCATGATACACAGGTAAGCATGACTGTTTCACATTCAATTGCCACATTTTGTGTCTTGTTCTCATGTTCTATGTGTCTTATGATGTGACATTGGATGATATTTCATGCAATCATTGAAACTTTTATGTGACCGAAATACACCAAATGATTGTCAACCAAATGATTGCAGATCTAAAAGGAAAGTGCTGGGACGTAAAGACTCGGGGGAGATGAGTGGAAAAAGTCTGCCTGGAGTAGCACCTGCAACCACCCCAGTCAGCAATCCTACTGTATGCCCGGTCACCCCTGCTGCCTCAGTCCCTTCAAACAGCTCTCAGCGAGCCTCAGGACCCATCTACAGGAGTGCCAAAAAGTCCAGTACATCCAGTGAGGAGTTCAAACTCCTGCTGCTAAAGAAGGGTAGTCGCTCAGACTCAAGTTACCGCATGTCTGCTACGGAGATCCTCAAGAGCCCCATCACACCCAAGACTCAAGAAGAGCTGCTATTAGAGGCTGCAAGGCAAACAGAGGAGCCCCCCTTACCCCTTCAGGAGTCCACTAGCAGTGGAGATCCACTTCCAAGGCAATTCCCTAAGGCCAACAGTGAAGGATTCTCCCCAAAAACACTTACCATGTCAGCTGCCTCCAGACAGGGACGTTCCAGAATTCCACCTGCTGCAAACAGCAGTCGCTATAGCACGCGGAGTCGGCTGTACACTGCCCCAATGCAGGCCATATCAGAGGGAGAGACTGAGAACTCAGATGGAAGTCCACACGATGATCGCTCCTCTTAGTGGTATAATCATTTTTTTTAACCACTTAGCAAAATGATAAATCTTTTATAATACAAAAACATTCTATTTGAACTGTATGAGAGTGCTGTATACATTATGATCTATCTTAGTTTTAACCCCTGATGTTTGTGATTTGAAAAAACACATTGATTTCTTTAAGCTCCTTTTGTATTACCTTTTATCATTGAGAGCTATGATTTTCACCATAATCCCACACTTTTATGCTCACAAAATGAGAAGGTGAAATTAGTTCTTCAACAAGGTATTGAAAGGTAACTTTTTAATATAGAAAATTCTATTTCCATCATCCATCACAAATTTACACACATATGTGGATGCTTCTCTAAGGACAATCGCACCATGGCCATTCTTAGCAGGGTGTGCAAGGGGAAAGATTTCTGAGAAAAAGAAAGCTAGAACTGTTATGAACATGGTTCTAGTAGACTGGTTTGCAAAACCATCAGTTCTTTTGCACTTCATTTGGGTAATTATACCTTGAAATATACAACCTGGATGTACTGTTAAATAACAAGGCAAGCGGACAAAGTTATCCAGTTTTAGTTTAGTGAAATGTAATGGAACGTACAGTATGTGTGTTTTTCAGAATCTTCATGCTGTCTGAATCTCAAACTGTCAAACAGCATTCCAACAACTGTTATGAAAACTAATTGAATCCTTTTTACCCGTGTTTAGTTTGCCTTTTCTTCAAAGACCCAAATTGGGTTGTGTATTTTTGTCACAATTTTCAGGTGTCATCATGTATATTTACTTAACCAACCAACATGGAAGATTTTTGTGACTGCAGAAGAAATGAGGACCTCAGTCTCAATGTATTCTGTGAATACCCTTAAAATCAAGTGTACTGTTCATTTGAAGAAGAATGGATTCACTTTTAAAGTGAAACTCCTCAGAGTTGGAGGTCTTCTCTGAGTTCAAAACTCATAGGAATTAGCTAGATTTGTCAAGCCTACACTGTGCCACTGAATGGAAGGTGACATGCTGTGAAAAGATCGATTTGTGGTCATCCGTCTCTGATGAATGCTCTTTCACTGTGGTCATAATTCAGTTTCTTCATCCTTTGTACAGCATGCAATAAAACACCAGAACATGTCACATCTCCACGTAAAATGTATTTCCACCTTCACTTGAATTTGTTGAGTATGTGCTCTGTTCAGTAAATGTACAAAATGTGTGGGATTTGTTGAAATTTGCAGTTTTACATCACTGTATACACAGTTTGAGCTCTTTCCTGTAAGTGGAGAAACTGGACAATCTAATCTAATGAAGCACTATTTGTGTACAGCCGAGTTTTGAAAGAACAGACTGAGGCATAAATATGGGGCCATTTTGTTTAAATGATGATAGAATTATATTTAGGGATTAATGTAATGTCATACTGATTTATATCTCAATCTCTGGGATATAGATAAAATGACTGCGAGAAAGCAGCAGTGGTTCATTGCTCATCTGTATATTTATAGATGATTGACATAATATTTCAGCCTTTATTCTGAACTGTCATTGATTTGTCGTGTACTGTCCAAGAGGTTTGAGAATTGGATTTTTTTTTTATACCGGTAGAGAAACCTTACAGGATATTCTGAGACACTAACAGAACTAACAGATATTTTCTCATAAAATAGGAGCTGCAGTGTGCCACGTCTTATTTCTCCTTTAATACAACCCTGTCTAATGGTTGTCGCAATTAGCTTTGCTTTATAACTACAGAATTTTGGAAGTACAGACTACTTTTTTTCTCCTTTGTGTCCATGTACTAGAACTAAATCTATGAAATCTTCTTTTAGATTGCAACATTTCATAGAAAAAAAGTATTTTTAATTATGGGATATTTTATCCAGAGAATTATTTTGTTAATAAATTTGGAAAAGAATAATTATAAAGCTTTATTTAAATAAAATAAGAAAAAAATATTTCATATCAGGGGTGTATCAGCCAATGATGAAGATACAGAACTTGTAAACATTTCTAAATTATCTGTAAACTTGCATTCTCAACAAATAAGCTTAAACGACTGTGTGTTAAACGACTGTAGTTAAACGTTTTGGTGCTTTGAATTCTATACCCAGGCCATATTCTGTCATTGTTGCCATTAGGGGGGAAATGTCATTGATATCATCAGTTTTCTTTTCTCTCTGTGCTTGTGATGCAATTGCAGTCATGAAAACAACACTCGTGACAACTCAAAAATTCATATATGTAGCAATGATTGTCTTTTGTTTCTATTTTCACAACAGTAGCCACATTTGAAGTATCAACCTAGTCACCTGTACTGTAGTGAAGCTAACCAGTCAGTTTAGGCCTTATTTGCAAAAGATTAAAGAAAAAAATGAAGGGAAATCATAAAGTTATCTGTATCATAGTTATTTTACCTCAAATACAGCTTTGGACTGTTTTAAACTGGCACAAGTTACTATACGAAAATGATCATATCAATAAAGAACAAAAGTGTAACAGGAAACAAAAAGACACTACAGAGTAGAGTTATTTTATTGGTTTTCTTTTATCATCATAATCCATCGTAGACAATTTCTCTGATTTTCATTTTTCTAGACACCTTTTGCTGATTTTCTCTGCATTAATGGAGAAGCACAGTCTTTTTTTCTTCTTCTTTTTTTGCCAAAGGGTTTTAAATGTGTATTGGTGTGGGGGGAAAAGTATAATAAGTTAATTGAAGAAATAAAAAATGAGGGTTAAAGTGAAAATGTCTAATGATAAGATGCATCTCATTCAGTTACAATAAGCAGGAAGCAAATCTCATTCTGCATACATGCTTCACTTCAAGAGATTTTAATCCATTTTGTATTTTTGTATAAACATGTACATATCTTTTTAAAGTGGAAAAAAAAGAGAAAAGGCACTGTTTCATTTTTTTAAATGTTTTAAAAGTTTACATTAATTCCAAGCCTTTGTATATTTTTGAGCTGTGCGACTCTCTCAGTCCTCTCAGACCTGTATTTATTTTTTAGTAAACATTGTGGGAATTTCATTGTAAATTTGAACCATTTCTTGCCAGCTCAAGTGACTGCTTAGTAACTGTGCATAGAGAAAGCCAATAAATGTGACTGCATTGAAAAATAACTGGATGCCTGAAGTATGATTTACATGTTTACTGTATGAGCACTTGACTCGAGAGAAATTGTAAAAATTTTCAAATTTAAACCTACACAGCTTGTAGAATCAAAATTCTAAGTTAAGATAAAGCACTTTTTTGGAATTATTGTCTTTTTCAGTGACAGGTAGGCCTAAATATTGTTGTGTCATAAATACCAAGTTGTAGCTACATCACGAAATTTATGTAGGCTACACGTAGGCTATACAATTAGTTAAAATATTCCGACGTGAGTTATAACGTGACACTTAGCAGTCACAATGAATTTAACATAAATGTATTACATAACAAATAGCCTGCGAGTCTATTTGAGCCTCCACTTATAAAGCCCTGAGAAATTGTAAAATAAAACAGCCGGTTACACACAAAATCAACCTCTCTACACTCTTAAAAATAAAGGTGCTTCACGATGCCATAGAAGAACCTTTTTGTCTAAATGGTTCCATAAAGAACCTTTAACATCTGAAGAACCTTTCTGTTTCACAAAAGGTTCTTTGTGGCGAAAGAAGGTTCTTCAGATTATAAAAAGGTAAGAAAGAGATGGTTCTTTAAAGAACCATCTCTTTCTTACCTTTTTATAATCTGAAGAACCTTCTTTCGCCACAAAGAACCTTTTGTGAAACAGAAAGGTTCTTCAGATGTTAAAGGTTCTTTATGGAACCATTTAGACAAAAAGGTTCTTCTATGGCATCGCTTGAACAACCTTTTGAAGCACCTTTATTTTTAAGAGTGTAGTTGTGTACATATAAAGAGAAAAATGAGAATGTTTACTCATTCTGAACCATAACCAAACATAATGGAGTTGAAACTTTTTGCTCTGTGGACTAAGACCTGATTGATTTTCGGAGAACGCCACAAGAGGAGGCTATTTCTCCATGAAACATATTTTTCACAGACCCGCTAAATGATAATGTCTCAAGTAGGCCTATGCATTTTCCTTCATACACGTTTAAGGCGCATCGTGTGCCGGTCTTTTTAACTATTTGTGGCACCTGTTTCTCCAGCTGCACAGTGAAGCTACAGGTAGACCAGGATGAGATTTAGCCTACATAGAAGGTTAAGCGGCTTTGACAGAAGGGTGAAGCGATTTCATGGAGAAATAGCCTCCAGTTCATGAAGAAATAGCCTCCTCTTGTAGCGCTTTCAATGAGGTATTGACACACACCGTCAGCCTTCGGTTTTAAGGTTGATGTATAGCGAAATTTAGAAGGAGGAAAATGTCCGGATTTCGCCTGCGAAACTTCGCTTAAAGAAAGTTTATTCGAAAGCGATTTACTAAAAACCGGAAAAAAAAGAAATGTCTTTTGATTACTCTACGCTGTTCGTGCGGTAGGCTAGCCTATGTTTTTTGACTCACTAAAAGGAAATGTATCGTTAAAATTGTTCATTTGGTAATAAGACTACATTGTTTGCGCTGTATGTTTGTGATTCGCTAAAAAAATGGTCGCTCTGTAGATTCAGTCGTGGTGTTGAGGCGGTACTAAGTATTAATAATTTGTATAAATAATTACAAAATAAATGTTTAATGGTTATAAAAGAGCCTTCTGTTGCTCCTTCTGGGAGTCTCACTGTAGATTCAGTCTCGATAATGACACAAGAGTAAGCAGAACTGATTACAAGTAGCCTAATTTGGATTACATAATCAGATTCCAAAAATTAAGTAGGCTACTTGTAATTGGAGTACATTTTAAAATACTAGTAATCAGACTACAGTTACTTTTTTTATAGATTACATGATTACATATTATTCAACAATATCAATAAATTATTGATTATTACTCTAATTCCTCTTTTTCATCTTTGACATTTTCATTTCTAAAATAGCCTGCCACTTATATACACTCAGAAAGTCCAGTTTTGTGGACATTCCCACAGAGATCAGTCATAAGTCAGGAGGCTACACAGCATTTGAAAAATTAAATTTTAGGGTTCATGATATCACAAACTAAGGCAGAAGCTTTTTGCAGTCCCTATCAGCCGTTTGTTGTAGGCCTTAAAAAGCTAATTCTGTAAAAGAAAATATCTCCCTTTACATTGAACTTTGCAGATGTTGTTTATGCTCAAACAGGAACATTACACATTAACTGAAGTTAAAAAAGTGAAATCATAATCAAGGACCCCTTTAAGTACCCCTGAGATTTTAAAATATATATTTTAATAATTAAGTATCACATTTGCGTGTTCACAGTTCTCTGACATTGGTTAATGATCATATGGCATGCAGGTAAACATAAAATATTTAATTTTTTAGGTGTTTTAATTTGATTGTTATTTTTAAATTATTTCTTTTAATTTGACATGATTTACGATTTAATTGTTAGCTTTTCATTAAACTCACAAACTCCCTGCAGTTCCTTTACGAACCCCAGTTTGGAAAACCTTGATGTAATGTTTAATACACTTCATGTTGTTAATTACAATGAATGGAATATATTTTCTTACTCTTTGTATTTTTACATCATTATGGTACAAGATTTTCCTATTTAAATCAATGTGATAAACGAGTTAGGACAGGTCTGATTACATTACCTATAATGTGTAATGTAGTGGATTACGTTACTGACTACAATTTTTGTCATGTAATTTGGAATCAGTAACTACCCAGCTCTGTGAGTAAGTATTGGTAATAATTTATAAATAGGTATTTATAAATTCAATGTTTAAAAAAGCTTTATATTTAACATAATATTATGGAGTATTGTATCTCATTCTCATTGTTTTTCCTTTAACTTACCAGCTAGCTAGTTGGAGTGAAAATATTCCATAGCCTACAGCAGGACAAAAATGATTGGTTTAGCAGATATGCAATTTGAGCTTTCATCATCTTGATTTACATATTACATTAATTTTGTAGTGGAAATTGGCCAAATTATTTGGTGATGTTGCCTATATGTGTGAATGTG